ATATGGCTGGAGAAGTGCAGGAACAGTGGGATGCTGCATTAGGCCGGCCATTAGGCCCCTGACTAGCTGAATGCGTCCTCCTCACATCTCCTGTTGTAACTGACTTGCACTGAGTTGCAAATTGCAAATGGGTGTTGATCCTGGAAGGGACTCTTGAAAGTCACCACTCTCATGACTTTCTAGCCCTTAGAGAGTGGGTGGGCTCCACACAGCACAGACTGGGAGAGTGCCATGACTGTGGGCACTTGATGTGCAAGGGCTGCCTGCCTTCCAGACATGCCTTTGTCCTTCGCACATTATGCCTCCAGGAGTGGGAGCAGTGGCCAATTTCCACATCAGTATTCAAGTCCAGGTGTATTTCTGGGCCCACAGGATGCAGCATGAGCACTGGACACCTAGGAGATGCATCCTGGCTTGGAAAGCAGGACTCGGCCGGTTAGTGGATGAGTCCAGGTCATTGCTCAGCTCAGTGAACAGAGTGTCCCTTCAGTCTAGCCCCAGGTCTAATTCAGCTACGCAGGAATTGGTTGCATGAGGGCTGGGACATAGGAATAGGGGGATGGGGATGGGGATTTGAAGGAAGACCTCCCTACTGATTGCTTCTACAGTAGGACTGTGGACTTTTCCTCTGTAAAAGACAAGTACTTTTGACTGGGCATGGTGGCTCATGCCTGGAATCTCTGCACTTTGGAAGGCCAAGGTAGGTGGATCATTAAGCTCAGAAGTTGGAGACCATCCTGGGTAACATGGTGAGATTCTATGTCTACAAAAATTAGCCAGGTGTGGTGGCATGTGCCTGTAGTCGCAGCTACTTGGAAGGCTGATGCGGGAGGATTGCTTGTGCTTCGGAGGGGGAGGTTGCAGTGAGCCGAGATCACACCACTGCACTCCCTCCTGGGCGATGGGGTGAAACTTCGTTTCCAAAAACAAAAAATAGATGAATACTTTTAAGAGTCCTGCTTTAGTAAGAAAGGAGTGGGTGCTGGGTGTAGGGGGAGTCAGGGAAAGAAAAACCTCCATCAACTCTACACACCCTGAGGATGTTAAGGACTAGTGTTCAAATCCAACACACAGGAAAGGGTGAGGCTTTAAAACCAACCGGTGGAACAAATAGCAAATTAGGTATTTACTCACCATATAACAAAGGTGTTGCACAATTGTTTTGTTAAGTGGTGAATCAAAATTCAGCTTGGTGGTGCCTTGTGCTGTGGGCCCCTGGGCGCATGCCTCTGCCTCCAGCAGGTCTCTAATCCAGCAGCTGGGCTGGGTTTTTCTGGTCTTTGTTTCCAGAAGCACTGAGGGTACGTGTCCATTGGCCCATCACACTCTGTTACCCCTGGCTTGTCTCCTGTCTCATTAGACTGCGTTCTCGAGGACAGGGATTGACACTAGATCCTCAGTGCTCAACACCTGCCTGCCTCGATTGGGTCCACCCTGAAGATTTGAAAGAAGAGTGGGAAATCAGAGAGGCAAGCAGGTGTGTGCGTTTTCCTCTTTAGCTTTCTCCCGTGAGCACTACTCTCATTCTTACACCTGCATATTCCAGACCTCTTTCTGAAGGTTTTACTGCCACCTCAAAATTCATTTCGAAGCCCACCCCTCGCTCTTGCTTCTTGTCTTGTGTTTCCTGTTTCCTTGTATCTGAATATCCCTCTCCCTGTCATCCTCAGCCCATGTCGCCCACTGCTGGGCTCTCCCATGGCTTCCTTCCCTCTTCTGCAACCTCATTGCTTCTTGCCTGCCACTGATTTTCCTTCTTCCCTCTTCTGCAACCCTCATTGCTTCTGCCATGTCACTGATTTTTCTTCATTTGGTCTCTAGTCCTCCTAAACATTTATTGAAGTTGCTTAACCTAAAGAATATCCACGTGACTGACGTGTTATAGGTCCTGTGTTGGAGGAGGTGGGGCCAGACTCTGACCTATACCAGTCTCTTCTGGCATCAGTTTCTCCCATCCTGTTGGATTCTTCACTTTGAACTCATTACTCTTATACAGGCAATGTGGAGAAGTTTGAAACTGATTCCTCGGTTGGCATTCGGGGCCTTCTGTGATCTTGCTCATTCATCCATCTTTTCCAGTCATGTCCCGTGACTCCCTTTCATACATGCTGTACGTTCCAGCTAGACTGGTACATACCCCGTCATTCCCTACCTCTTCCTTTGTCATCATATGGCTTTCCGTGGGAATGCCTTCTCCTCCCTTCACTTCTCCCATGCCCTTGTCCAAGTGTCCTTGTGATTCAGCTCAAATGCCATCTCCTCCAGGAAGCCTTCCCTGCTCTTATCTGGTAAGCATTTGAGTACCTATAGTGCCTATAGTCCACCACTGGAGGAGACACCTTGTTTTTGTTTTGTTTTGTTTTGTTTTATTTTGTTTTTTGAGATGGAGTCTTGCTCTGTTGCCCAGGCTGGAGTGCAATGGTGCGATCTCGGCTCACTGCAACCTTCACTTCCTGGGTTCAAGTGATTCTTGTACCTCAGCCTTCCTAGTAGCTGGGATGACAGGTGCATGACACCATGCTCAGCTAACTTTTTGTATTTTTAGTAGAGACAGGGTTTTACCATGTTGGCCAGGATGGTCTTAAACTCCTGACCTCAGGTAATCCACCCACCTTGGCCTCCCGAAGCACTGGGATTATAGGCATGAGCCACCATGCCCAGCCCCCTTAGTTTAATTGCTTAGGCTATATATATCATTTTGCCTCTCTGCATCCTGTGTCCTCTCCTTGAGGTAAGTTGGGTCTATGTCAGATTCCTCATAGCCATCTTTCTGCCTAGTGCAGTGTGCAGCCCACGGTGGGCTCTGAGGAGGTCTTGGCTGCATAATAGCACCCGTTTCCTGCCTTGCCCTCCTGTGCTAAGCCCTTTCCATGCTTTGTTTCACTTAATCCTCACAGTAGCCCTTTGACCCAGATGCTATTAATTGTATCCTCCTGAGGAGGAAACTGAGGCTCAGAGAGATTAAGCCACTTGCCCAAGGTCACAAAGCTGGTAGGTGGTAGAGCTGGGTTCTATGCCCAGACCTTTTGTCTTTAATCCCTGCTGTATGACCCGAATGAGTAGGATGAATAGGACTGTCAAAATAGGATGTGTAAAGCCAGTGGAGGATATAAACTTCAGAGGATGCCATGAGTTCAGAAAGAACGTTTCTCGTTTTTTAAATCACTGTGTTCAGTGGGTTTCAGCCTTGCTCTTTACCAAGAATAGCCCACAGCTTACAGCATCATTAAAAGGGGTGGGGAGGGAAAGGCAGCAGGAGAGTAACTGGTCTTCTCGACCCCCTCACAGCAGTGACTTCCCAGGAACTGGCATTTCAAGGTCTCACATCCTAGTAGACCACGCCCTGGAGTGTTGGAGAAAGACAGCCAAATTGCCTTTTTGTCTCTTCATTCCTTCTTTAGTTCCCCAAATCCTTAAGGAGTAATGACTGTCATGTACTGTCCTGAGTCCTCTGGGACCACAGAAATGAATCAATCCCATTCAAGAGCCTTTGCTGCAGTAGGAGTGAAACCCATAAATGAATAATCCTAACTTTCAGAAAAAGAGTTAATGTGATTCTGAGAGACAGGCTTTTACTGTTGAAATGGGGAGGAAGGAGAAACCCATATAGCTCCAGACTAGAGAAGAGCTCCCAAGCCTTGGTTTCCTTAGTTAACACCCCCGGCTTCTGACTCAGTTTGTCAGGACCTGTTTCTAAGCCTGGATGTTTGGACACCCCCACTGCCTTGCCAGGAGTTTGCTGAGGACCTTGGTTTTAAGCCTGCAAAGGGTGTGATTAGAGGCATTGTGGCTGGAGCAGCCTGTCTTTAAAAGAGCGAGGAAAGCTGAGCAGTGTCTCCCGGTGTTGAACTGTCTGGACAGCTCCAGCTCGGGACTGGTAAAGTGAATAAATGAGCAGATACTAAGGGATCCTTTGTACCTTGTACTTTATGTAACATAGTCATTTAATTCTCGATACAACCCTATGTTGCAGCTAAGGAAACAGACATTTGAAACAGCTGTAATTTGCCCAAGAATGCGTGGCTAAAAGGTGGCTCTTAATTGTAGTCTGATGCTAGGTGTGGAAAATCACTTGGGAGGCATGAATGGAGCCACGTTGTTGGGGAGAAGAAAGGCCTACTCTGAGCTTAAGGGCAGAATCCTTAGGAAATATTTCCCTGTTCTTTGCTATGGGCTTGCACTGTGGACAATAGCAAAGAACTGCAGAGAGAGCCTTTTACTGAGGAGAGGCTGGTGCGGTGGAAGCCATTTGGTTAGAACCTGCCCAACAGACAGCTGATCAGGCCTGGCTGGTGGAAAGAACAGAATGTTAACAAATGTGGTATGCAGTAGGAGGGAAGCAGAAGATGAGAGAATCCATGGGCCTGCTTTGGTTGCTTTCAAGTCATGAGTTGGTGGTGAATGGGGCAGGCCTTAAAAAAGTCAGAGATTAAGATTCAAAACCAGACAATAATTTAAAAAGTAGATTTCGAGAATGCTACCCCCCAGAAGGGCCCTCAGAGAGAATCTAAGGTTTTATTTACTTGTTTAACGGACAGCAAACTGAATCCTGGTGGGGAAATCTACAAGCCAAAGATAACAGTGTGTTACCCACAGAACCAGACAGCTTGCTGATCTGAATTAAGCCTGTAAGACAGGGGTTTAGTGGAGGAATAGAAGGTGAATGGAGCAGGTTCATAAGAGAGCAAGGCAGTGGATTGATGTGTATTTTTGAGAAACCTGCCAGCATGGACAGTTTAGTTGGGAGTGTTAGCTCCTAGTGACAGCATGGAGTGTTAGCTAGGCCAAGTCAAGATTTGTAGGATACGGGGCCCAGGTGTCTTTGGAGGTGCAAAAGAGTCTATGGTGAGGGGAGCACCAATACTGCAGAAGCAGGAGGGAAGGATAACTGTTGGATAGGGATCATTTCCCAGTTCTGAGTGGAGTCCAGAGTCCAGACAGCATGCTATAAGGTGGTGTCCTATAAGCTGACCATGTGCTCTTCCCCGTTTCACCTGTAGGTGATTGCAGTGGTAATGGACGTGTTCACAGACATCGACATCTTCAGAGACCTTCAAGAAATATGCAGGAAACAGGGAGTCGCTGTGTATATCCTTCTGGACCAGGCTCTCCTCTCTCAGTTCTTGGATATGTGCATGGATCTGAAAGTTCATCCTGAACAGGAAAAGGTTTGTGGTACACTATATCCAGTTTCACCACAGTCAACGAATGTGACTAAGCATCCATGATCTACAAGGTGGTTGGTGGCAGTATCCCTGTTTACAAGGAAGGGACTGAGGATGTGAGCAAAGTCATTTGCCTGGTCTTACAGAAAATGGACAGTACCTGTGACCTGGCAATTCTCCTAGGAGATGAAAATATAGGCCCCCACAAAAATTTGTGTATGAGTTTTATAGAAGCATTATTCATAAAGTCAAAGAGTGGAAACAATCCAATGCCCATCAACTGATAAATGGTTAAATGATATGTTGTCTATTTATACAATAGCATACTATTCAACCATAAAAAGGAATGAAGTGCTGATACGTGCTACAGCATGGATGAACCTGCAAACATGCTAAGTGAAGGAAGCCAGTCGCAAAAGACCACATATGATATTATTCCATTACGTCAGAATAGGGAAAGCTATAGAGATATCGATTAGTGGTTGCCTAGGGCTGGGGAGTTGGAGGGAAGGACGGGGTTATTGCTAACTGATGAGAATATCCTGAAATTGACTAACGGTGATGGTGGTTGCATATATCTGTGGATATACTAAAAACTACAAAATTTGTGTTAATTGTATGATCTGTGAATTAGATCTCAAGCTGTTGAAAGAAATGTTAGGATTTAAGACCTTGGCCTCTCCCCTGTACTGTCCTGCCTCTTAGAGCCTGGACCAGCTCCCTTGTTGAAGGCCCGAAGGCCACCCTGGAAGCTGCTGCTTTTGACAGTAGTTCCAGGAGGCTGCCCTTTTAATCATGGCAACCAGTATTTGTTGAGCTCCCACTCTGTATTTGGCACTGCTCCATGCTTTTTTTTTTCCTGAGACAGAGTCTTACTCTGTTGCCAAGGCTGGAGTGCAGCGGCACAATCTAGGCTCACTGCAATATCCCTCTCCCAGGTTCAAGCGATTATCCTGCCTCAGTCTCCCAAGTGGCTGGGATTACAGGTGTGCAACACCACACCTGGCTAATTTTTGTATTTTTAGTAGAGATAGGGTTTTGCCATGTTGTCCAAGCTGGTCTTGAACTCCTACCTCAGGTGATCTGCCTGCCTCGGCCTCCCAAAGTGCTGGGATCACAGGTATTAGGCCCCGCGCCCAGCCTGCTCTGTGCTTTTAACAGATGTTATGTAACTGAATCCTGGCAGCAGCCCTATCAGGTAAGTGGCATCTGTGTTTCAGATCAGGAAATAGTGACATAGAGAACCCAAGTGTCCACAACTGGGGTCTGCCTCCTCCTATGTCTGCCTCCAACCCCAGTGTCTGTAATCAGTATCACATGCTGCTGCTGTTCATTTCACATTATTGTAAAATTAGATTTTATGTCTATTTCTCTGATTCTGAAAATAGTCTAAGTGTTTCAGTGGAAGCCTATACAGCATAGCTAGCTTGGTCACTTTCATGGAAAGAAGCAAGAAAAATTGTCATATTTATTACAGATTTTTTTTTTGTTCTGTTTTGTTTTTTTGAGATGGAATTTCACACTTGTTGCCCAGGCTGGAGTGCAATGGCACGATCTCAGCTCACTGCAATCTCTGCCTCTCAGGTTCAAGCAATTCTTCTGCCTCAGCCTCCTGAGTAGCTGGGATTACAGGTGCTCGCCACCACCACCCAGCTAATTTTTTGTATTTTTAATAGAGACGGGGTTTCACCATGTTGGTCAGGCTGGTCTCGAACTCCTGACCTCAAGTGATCCACCCACCTCGGCCTCCCAAATTGCTAGGATTACAGGCGTGACCCACCACGCCCGGCCCAGAATTTGTTTTTTAAAAATTAAGCAACCCATCGCTTCTCAGCCTTTTGGCTAAGATCAAGTGTAAAAATTAAGCAACTTAACCTGTGAGCTTCAGAACTTTATTTGTTCATCACCTATCTGAGCATCTATTATGCACCGGGTACTAGATATAAAGCAGTCAGCAAAACGAATTTAGTCTTTGGTACTATAAGTTATTGCCTAAGAGACTCTAACTTACCACCTTGTTATTACCAAGCAATTTGATTTACAGAATTCAGATTCTCCCACAGAGTTCTTGTTGATTGCCTCATGATAAAGACACGATTGGGGTTTAGAGACCAATTGAGATGAGATAGCCATGTAACCCAACAGGTGGTTAGAAAATGAGGCCAGGTGAACCCAAGGCAGATACACTTTGGCATGGAAAAGAGCATTATCAGCTAGTCAGGTGAAGAAATTGAAGGTGTCAGTGTTTAATTTCAAGGCGCTCTTTCTATAATTAAAGCTGTGCGTTAGCAGAGAAATCACAGAATTTTTCTGGCCACAACTTTGATCAAGTGATTTTCTCTGATTTATCTACTAGACAGAAATCTATGAGCAGGTACCGGTTCAGGTGCCTACTGTTGGTTGCTGCCTTCATAGGTGTCCAGATCCTCTGTAGGGGGATTTAAGAAGGCCTATTTCTCTGGCTTCCCCAGTTTTTGTAGTCTTACTCCTTCCTGGGGAAGCACTGTCTTCTGGTTGCTTGTGTCTCCTGTGCCTGTCTGTGCTAGTGAATTTCTGCCCTTGCCGTATGGGGGCTGATTTCCCCATGCTTTGCCTCTGTAGCTGGTTCAGAATGTTGGGTTGTGCTGTCTGTAGGAACTTGGTCACACATTGATGTGCAGGCACTCATGAGTGCTTTGGCCACGATCACAGAGGCATGTACAACATGCAGATGTGTGTCAAAGGGAAAGATACACAAAACCACACCTAATCTGCCCATAATGGTATTTTTTATGCTTATTATATGTTGATCCTTTACAACTTGGCTCAGGGGTCATCACCTCCTCCAGGAAGCTCTCCTCCCACCAAGTCCAGGTGTATCTCTATGACATTCCCTAGTCATCTTTTTTTTTTTTTTTAATTTTTATTTTGAAATAATTTAAGATTTATAAAGAAGTTACAAAAATAATATAAGAAATTCCTGAATACTCTTAGCCCAAGTTCTCCACATGTTAACATCTTACAAACCTCAGTACAAATAACAAATTCAGGAAATAAAATTGATATCAATACTATCTAATTTACAGAGTTATACATTTCCTGGTCATTCCACTAATGCCCTTTTTCTGGTCCAGGATCCAATCCAGTCTAGGATCACACCTTACATTTAGTTGTCAAGTCTCCTGCATATCATTTAATCTGGAACTGTTTCTCCATCTTTCTT